AGATGGTGTTCATGGGTTTTCACATATTTTAAACACAGTCATGTAGTGTCATCTCATTCATACAACCCAACGTCAACAAAATTAGATTACTTACAAAACTATTCACTTGCTTTAGTTATATGACATCTCAATGGTTCAGAATTTGGAGCTAGTGGTATAAGGAGAAGGATATCCATATGAGTTTGTTACCAGTCCTAACGATACCAGCTTCGTTTTCGGCACCAAAATAGCCGTTTTTTGTTAGTAATTCTGCTATTACCATCGTTTTGACTAGAGCATGTAGTAACAGAGTAAAGTTAATCCCCTAATATTCTGTTGAAACTTAGAAATTTTACTCAGGCTCAATAACTCCAGTCACCTGAATGCCCTTCAGTAAAAATTACCATTTAACGATAAATCGACAGCATCTATACCCGTACGCTGTTTTGCTGATGAGAAATATTGGACTGACACAAATCTCAGCCGAGTACAAGTTTAACATCACTAGTATTCTTTTATCTTAAAAACGATATCAGGGATGAATTAGGTACCCTCATCTTTCATTAACAGACTGCAGAATATAGGGGAGTTTCTAACATTTTATGGATAATTTTCCGACCCCTAAAATGAAGTTTCCCCGAGCCAGATTCTATTGAAGTTTGGCCAATTTAACCCTGTGATTACATATCATGAGTCTCGAAACTAAAGATGATTGTGCTAGGATGGAGTCGAATGTATTTATCATAGCATCGATTGACTATCTTATTGTAAATTAGGGATCTCATTATTATCTGGGCATCATCAGCGCTTTGATTATTGACATTTCATTCAGATCGCTGATTTTTATACTACTAAGCTGGGATAATATAGTACTTACATATTAAAGCCAAATAAATGAACTCTTTGTTCAAATACACTTACGACTCACCTCATTTTTGACCAAACTTTTAAACAACGTATTAATCGGTGCGCTGATAAAAATCAAACTGGTTTTATTGATGAAATTACATGCTTATAAGGTGACCATTAGTGATGTATTACATGTATTTTTTCAAGATTAATATTTTCGCATTCTCGAATCGGCTAAATTCTGCTAGAATTTCGCTCAGTTTTTATAAAATTTACTTTCTTATTACATAGTGGTCGATGATAATCAGAATCATCATAGAATGACCCTTATTAAAGATATCTACTGATTATCCGTTTCTGATGTAGGAAAAGGCCTCGGTATAAGATATAAATATTACCCCTAATTATCCACGAGGAAGTGAATAAGATCTTAGCTATTTGTCATCGTTTTTGTGGAGTATATAGTGAAAACACGTTGAGATATACATATATTCATTGATATATTTTGGACTTACAGTTGGAAATTGGTGCTTGATATTGATGGCTTCAACGCTTTTTCATATCTTTTTAGAGTTATGCAACAAAACCTCCACAAACATTCCATTTTTTGAATAAAAAGGATCTTTCTATATTTTCGCTAGTTTTTCTTGTGTAGCAGCAATACCTTTAATTCTAATTTATTTAGTGAAAATGGGACTAATAACATCTTAACAAATATCTCTCATTTTTCATTAAATCAATTGTCTGCTGGTGAGTTTTCAGAAATTTTGACTGTGTTCTGCTTGGCCAGGTTGCAATGTAGTCCACCACGAAATATCAAACCTAGCCAGTGGGAATGTCACAGATACAGCATTCAACCCACTACTATATCAAGCGAATGAGTACTTCAACCAGTATTTGTCGGGTTCATCAAAAGATTTAAAACCAATTGGGAGGAAAACTACTTTCAATAGATGTGCACTATTTTTATTAAAACTGAACAGATAAAAACCATAATCAGAATAAAGGGTATTATTTAAATCTCAAAAGCTCACTACAAAGCTGCATTTCGGATTATCTTTCATAATTTTTGCATAACTAATACAGCATACCCGAATCAACGAAACATTTTTTACACCAGGTATGAACAACGGTTTGCCTGTAATGAGTGCATTATTGAAACTTAGCATCGAATTTAATTCTGCTTAATTAAAAAGTTACGAGCCAGAAATCTCGTCTTGTGTTTGAAAAGTGAGATGTGCGCAACTTGAAAGTTGCTATAAAAATTCGAGTAGGACAAGCTGCAGCATTAAAATAGTGCAACTCTTAGTTCATAACCAAAACTATTTGTTCAGCCTTAAGAGTAGAAATGCAAAGGCTCGCTAAACCTACACCGTCTTTTTCTAGGTACGAAATATATTATCTATAACGGTACCGTAGCTGCATATTTGGCTTATGCTGGTAATTGGGTAGTGACTTCTCTTTTTTTACTAAGAAACTGCACAGTACTTAGAATGAATGACTCATTAGTGACCTTGCAAATAATAAAAAACAGTTTGCAAATATTAGAATGCTAGCTGTTTGTAAAACCCCACTAATTTCTTTAGAACACCGCCGATTGTTTTGTGAGTCAGATTCCGCCGTAGTACCCAGATATTTTAATCTTAGTTATGTTACTGAAGCATTTATGTCTTTCACTAAGTTTTCTTTTTTATCATTATTCCGGAGTTTAGCTCGATCATTTATGACCACATAAATGGACGCTTCTGAAACTTAGCATCAAATAAATATACAGCAAAACAGCCTAATAATATATTCGTTGAAACAGGATTCTTACGCAAAACTCAAGGTTTTTAAATGGAAAAGATACTGATATATTGCTCTGAAACGTGAGCGAACCTTAGCATTTTAAGTAACTTTGCTGAAAGCGCTGTCACTGAAATACAGATACTTGAGTTAATCCCAATATTTAATTTGTTGGAAAATTCAAAGCATATCTATTTAGAGACGTCTCTAGTCACATTTGTTGTAATGCAAATCATAGCAAGGATTTCAAGTAAGGAAGAGAAAAAAGGTATTTTATGAGTCAATTTAAGTATGTTAACTTGAATAGATCAATTATTCTCATTAATTTGCTCGTTAATATTTTATACCGTCATTTGTGCTTGTATTCTAATGTAAAACAAAGTATTCTTACTTATATTATTATAATGATCCCCCTTTTCTTAATACTGTTCGGTGTATTTGTTTCGTTGCAAACTACATATCCGTTATTTGGCTTTTGTCTCTTTTACCTACTCAGAGTATGAAATACGTTTAAGCTTTATACAAACTGAATGTCAGTATCAACTATAAAATTGATTATTCTCTCTTTCAAACGATCTATTAGGTCACTCAGGGTTTTTCTGTGTCTCATTCAGTTTTCATACACCCTCAATACTTCATATTAGCTACGCTGGTAGATACAAGAGGAAAAATACTGTAATATTGTAATTTGATGTACAAAGTATAATAAGTGAACATATGGGATTTATGGTGGACCTGTATCTCATTCTTTATTGCCAACGGCTCTGTTTGTTCACTTTGTCTTCATAAAATATCAAAAGTTTACCCATCCTAGCTTTAATGCAACTGGAGGGAAACAACACCAAGCAAACAGGTAGTTTAGGATCTTAGCGTAAATAGATATCGGCGTTTGCATTTTATTTAACGATGTAACTTGATTAGCATCATTTTAGCCCTTAAAAGTTTTGGTAATTCCCAAAGTTTCCCTAATATGAGACTAATGTGGTGGCCAGGTTTTCTGGAGAACAGTTATAGATTAATCAGAGGCCTAAAGTACATCTAGTACTTACAAGTATGATGAATAAGACAGTTTGCTCTCGTGTTTTGCCTGTTTCGTAATAGCCCAATCAATGTTACTTATTTCTTGATATGGCAACTCTAAAACTGTTGAACATTTTTGAAGTATGAATGAAATTGATGCTAATAATAATTTTAAAAAATCATCATAACTAAGTGTGAAATTTTTCACCTAGATATGCTGACAGACTTTTTGAGTGATTCAACATATTACAGAACTTCAGTGAAAAAATGAACTATATTTTATATTCTGGTCTTACCTATTTTCCTCTTTATTAAGGAACGCGGTAGATTAGAATTTGAATAACAATAAAATACTAGCCATCACGCACTTTGAAGGATCCCGGACTTCCAATCATTCTTATCTCAAAATCTAAAAAGAATATAAAAAACAAATAGTATTGGTGAGTTATGTACTGCCCCATAAAACGCTGGAATTTTCTTACATCAATGATGCTTAAAAACATAGCGAGCCTGTGTTATGGAGTCCTAAGATAAAATGTGACAGCCAATCAATGCTTCCACTCTTAAGTCTTCCGTGGTTGAAGTGAGATAATAATAGAAAGCTATCTTGATTTGTATTTCTTTAGCACCAAATGGTATTTTCCCTAACTGATTACTGTAATCTTTGATTTGAAAATGAGTAGTTAACCTAAACAGTTAATTAGTATTTCGATAAATATATCTTTCTTATTCGGACACATTCAGCATAAAATGAAGAGATGTTTAGTACACTCAATAATATTGTTTTGAAGTACACTTACACTTTTTCATAACAAACCAATAGTATAAACCTAAACTACTGTTTCACTACAGTTGATTCAGTTCATTAACTCATAATTACAAACTTTTAATCAATCACCTATGTAATAAAAATCACACGTGAATTTGATTAGTTATTGGTCTACTGGCTAATTAAACGAATTTCATTCTCCTCTTTTTTGGATAGATAGAGTTGAAACTGTTATAAAGTAATTTCCATCACAAATTAACTTAAACTGAAGTGAACATTGAAAATGAATATCAATCATTAGACAGTCATTTAATTTTGAATCCAGTTTTTCCAAGTTGTTTTCTATTGTAAACTAAACACATGCAGAATATTACACATCACACCTCCAAGTGAAAATACCTGTTGATCTAATAAACAATTTTAGGGTTTTGCTTACTCTTGGTATATATATTTGGTACATGAAGAATTACTTATAACTAATATTTTGATATATATATACATACTGCAATGGTTATTTTTTATATTTATCCAACGTACATGTTCACTTAATCAGTCAGTGTCCTATTGTTTCAAGTTGAATTAGTGAATTTACACAAATATGGATGGTCAATGCATAGGCAAAGGATTACGTCCGATACAAGTACGTGTTCTTCACTTGGATGAAACTGTTCATACTTTTCAAATTTCGGTAAGTGTATAAATACATAGAATTATATGTCTTTTTTATTTGAATTAATAATGTTTAAAAATAAATTGTTAACTATTGATTAAATTTTATGTTACATTTCATAATGATAATTTATAGCTATTTTCTGAAATTTTTCTAATGCATTAATGTTGATTGTTAGATTCTTCTAAAATTTCTTTACTACTTTGTTCGTCCTTGATTTTTCTTGAATTACTATTGCTATGAAAAGTAAGCAACAACTAAACGATATTCATTCATGCAATAGTGAAGTTAATTTTGTGTCATAACTAAAGTTATTTATAATTATCTGAACTAATATGAATAGGTTTCTATCATTTGCTCTGACATGTTAACATTATATATATTCATGAAGGAGTAGATAGTCATTTGTACACTTTGTCTTCTGAAATAAATAAACAATTGTACCTTATCATTAATAATCTATTTCATTATATCAAGTAAAGTTAGTCATTAGGTAGAGGATTATACTTTTCGTTGAATTTCTTACAAGTTGCATTTTAATGTTATATTATTGTAGAGTTATTTTATAGTGTACAATTCTATGTAGTGAATTGCTGTATTGATGAAATTCGTTTAACTACAATATACTTTTTAGAACATCATGGTGCTGATATATTATGAAATGTGTGACTGGTTTAATGTAAGAAAAGGCTGCATCTATTAATAGGATTTCTCAGTGGATATAGTTACTGAGCACCTGAGTTAAATATTTTTCATGTTTTGATAGCTTATTACATAGCAAATAAGTTTATGACAGTATGGGCTCATACATATTTCCTGATAAGTGTAATTGATTAGGCCATAATTCGTTTATCATATATATTTCCCCATATTGTTCATCTTGAGAACTTTTCCATTGATATAAAATGACGAAAATAAATTATTGTAAAATCCTTCCCTTCGGCAAAGTGTTTTTTTTTTAATTATTAGTCTAGTGGATTATTACATGGAATAATTTTCAAGTGGATGATAATTAGTTTTATCGTTTTGAATTAGTAGCGATAATCGATCAGTGTATGTTCGGAAAATTATTAAGATACGGCTACAAATGTATAGCATCTAAAATCTTAAAAAAAGCTCGAGTTTTTAAAAGTGTACATAATAGTCATTAACTATGATTATAAAAACTCAAGTTATAGTATTATAAGCTGTCCAATAAAGATTGAATATAATAGTTTGAATAGTTTTATAGAACTAAGTTCATTCAATAGGTTTTCTTAACTTCTTCACAAACAACAAGAAAAACCACTTCAGACGATAGCGATAAATTACCTCTAAGCGTTATCACATTGAAATGTACACAATCTTCAAATTATTGTACAGTGAATTAGCCGAAACGATGGTGATTATTATTAGTATTTTCATCTTCATGGTATTTTACAATTTATTTTCATTTTTGACTATAATTAACATTCTCCAACAATCCTTATCACGTTTTGTCTTCATACTTCATCTAGTAATGTTCTTGTAAATAGTATAATTTAAAAATTATATTCCTGCTTGGTTGCATTATTATAATTGTTCATTATTAATCATTCATTAGACATAAAACTTTAAAAGGAATTTTATCACAGTGTTATAAATGTGATAATAGGCAAAACTGAATCGAGCACACTACTAGCCGAAAATGCTTTTGTTATGGTACAAAATCAATTGTAAAAAACTTCAGTCAGTCAGTTACAGCGTAGAACTTCGTATGCACGTACGTACAACAGTTCAGGTTGCCATGCTGCATTAGCACAGAGACGCAACTGTCAGTTCAAATCCAATAGTGGTAGCGACAGTAGAAGTATTAGCAGTAATGGAGAAAATTAGGGTTCGAAGATATTACTCAAGAAGTAGAATTCAGTAAGATAAATTTAGAAAGAGAAAGATATAGGTGATGAGGAATTCAGGAGGTTAGAATTTGTGAGAAGATAAAAAGTGGATGCACCTGCGCTACTGCAAACGATTTTGAGCCATGTCGTTCAAGGTCTCTAACCATTGGTGACTTTCGTCTCGTGGACCCCAACCAGGTAGTCTACATCTACCAACATGACTCAGTCCACTTGTCAGTGACTTCATGGATTTCTGCCATGTTTTGGTTTGGCCGCCCCTATCTTTCTTCCAACCTACTCCTACATCAAAAGACATAGCTCGACTAGGTAGTTAGTTGGTGGTTGGGCATTCGTAACTCATGTCTCAAACACACCAACTAATGGAGTTTCACTACTTAATTAACGCTTTATCGAAGGACTTACTTCAAACTCTAAATCAATCTAGTAGAAACAACACAATGATATTCATTGAAAACTGTTTGTTATGCATTGGCTGAATAGCAGTAATATACATTGTTGTAAGTCGTTTTTCTTAAAAAACTTTAGTGAGAGAATAGCCGGTTAAATACTCCAGATTTTTTTACATCTTGTTCAGTAATTAATATGTGAAATAAATGACAAGATAACCGATAGGTTAAATTTATTAAAATTTTTTTTCTAAATACGCTTATGTGAAATATACTTGTTCAATAAAAAGCTGAAAGGTTCTCTTGGCTAAAGAAATAAATACCACTTTACTTTGCCGGCAAATTGTAATTAGAACCAGCATGCTTTTCATTGTAAAAGGTTAGATTTGAAATGTTCACTTATTCACTACTTTTACTATACTGTCTAGTATTAACCACAATTGTTGCGAATTTATTCATCTATCACTCATATATTTTTAAAAAAATATTGAAACAGAACTTTCGATGTGGAAGCATTATCTTGTGTAAACTCATCCATAATGCTCCTCAAATGTATTTGTAAGAAAAAAATTTCATCTTTCGTAAAAAGAATTTACAGTTTAATTCACTCAACTCTCAGTAACAGTAGGAAGATTCGTTAAAATTTATCTGTACAAATACAAGTGTGAGGTTTTAAGAAAATAAATTTGTATCAGAAATAAATTTTATTTAACAACGTCTTTATCCTTTTTAATCTCTTTTCTGAACGGTTTAATATATTTCTTTCAAAAATAGTTTACTACTGGAGCGCACAAGCTTCAATAAATATCCTAGTAGATGACTATACGTAATAAAATATCTGTCACGCCTCATGGAGCAAAAGCCAGCAATCTCCAACCAACTCTATCCTGGGCTCTTCTTTTACCGTTGTTCCCGATTGCTGTTCATTTTTCTCATGTGTCTACAGTTCCAAGTGGTAGCCTTCTTCGTGATGTAGTTGGGTGAATTCTTCAGTGCATCCTATAAACCTTTAGCTCTTATTCCTATTTTCTTTCTCAACTGTAATCTGATTTGTTATTCCCCACAGTAGGTTGTTGCTCATAGTATCTGCTAAACGGATACTAAATATCTTGCGTAGACAACTGTTAATACACACATCTATCTTTTGGATAATGAATTTCGCAGTTTTGCAAGAATTAGCTCCATACAACAGAAAGGTTTCGGTGTTCGTACTGAAAAGTGTGACTTCGGTGTCATCTGACAGTGGTTTTTAGTCCCAGATGTTCCTCACTGTAGGACTGGTGCCACTACTCTGCTAGCTAGTCCGTGTCCTCACATCTGCAACAGTTACACCTTGTTTACCATTGATTCTGTCCAGATATGTAAAGGTTTTCACACCTCCCAAAGCTTCTCCATCAAGCGTGGTTTGGTTGACGCATGTTGTGTTGTATCGGAAAATCTTGCTTTTCTTCTTATGTATGTTGAGACCTGCTGCTGCTAGACTGGTCATCTTCTCTTGCATTTGTTGTCGTGTGTATGACAGAAGAGCCAGATCATCCGAGAACTCTAGATCGCCCAGCTGAGTTGTAGTTGTTCAATGTATCCCCTAATTCTCTCCAGGTGAGCATGTCTTCCTAATCCAGTTGATCGCCGGGATAAAGAGAAAGGGTGAGAGTAAGCAACCTTGCCGGACGACGGTCTTCACTTGAAATGAGTTTGTGAAGTGTTCTCCATGAACGATTTTGTAGTTCACTTCATCATAAGAATTCCGTATGATATTGACTTTCTTCTTAGGCACATCGTAGTGTCAAAGAAGCCTTCATTGTTTCATCCCTTCCATGCTGTCGAATGCTATCTCGTAATCAAATAAGTTGATGTAGAGTCGTGAGTTCCATCCAACTGACTGTTCCACAATGAGCTGTGGTGTCGCAACTTTGTCAGTAGTGTGTAATATGATTCGCTGTAAGAATATTCCATATATATATATATATATATATATATATATATATATATATATATATATATATTAATAATTTCCTTGGCTCTGAGGGGGGACATCTGCTTCGTGACTTCAATGAGGCATGATAACTCATGTAAATGAATTACTTTTCCTGGTTAGCAATTTTTTAGCGACTTGATTGTCTACGGGATGGAGTGGCTAACCACATACTAACCTTCTTCCTTCATGCGGGCCTGGGACTAACAGTAACCCTGGAAAGGCCATAAGCGTAGTTGTGTAATAAAACATTTCCAAGTATTTTGTCGACGTAATGTTGCAGAACATACTTGTATCGAAAGAAATTTTTAAATTTCCTGGAAAAAATATTTCTAAGGATAAATGTTATTATAATATTATAAGCACTACTAAGTCAGCTACTGATCGTCAATAAATTAACTTGTCTTTCACATCTAAAAACTCATCTTCAGAAAATATAGCAAAGAAAAATAGGACAAGCTCATGCTATATTCAGTAAGAAAGAAAAATAATCCTGAAAAGTTTCACTTTTAAATTTATGTAAAATTGTTGCATAAACAGTGAATATTGCGTGACTGTGAAAACAGATATACATTCATGTTTTGTGCATTTAATTTTCTCTTTGAACAAAAGACATAAAATGATGCAGACAAATTTTCATCGAAACAATAGTTTCAATATATTGAATTTATATACATATATAACTAATACAAAATTTAGGTTGTTTTGAAACCTTTAATTCGTTTACAATTATATTAACTATGTGAAATAAGTTTCTGGATCATAGAGACCGGTTATTGG